AAAGAAGGAAGGAAGGAAGGAAGGAAGGAAGGAAGGAAAGAAAAGAAAAGAAAAGAAAAGAAGAAAAGAGGGAGAATCAACAAATTTGGCTTGATGAAGACACCCATCATTTCCACTTTTAAGTTAAAAAATAGCTTAGTGGTAGCATTATTTATAATTTATTATTTGTTATATTATATATAATTTATTAAAAGATAATTTGTTGTGAACAAATTATTAAAAATGGTATAACAAATATCTGGGCACATTTGTTTTTAGCAAATGATATACTGCTGATTAAAAAAAGGATTACTTTGCAAATTATGGGATAAACCATAGGATAAATTAGTTGACAATTTATTTGATAAATGATAAAAAAAATTAGTTGATACTGATGATGCTAAACAACCCGTGACTTAAAATTAAAAAGCAAGACTAGTAGCAATTTTAAAATACAACTTAGTACCAATAATAAACTGAGAAAATATTCTCTTGAAGATTACAAGAACTGCAACTCTACTTACTGTATACTGTATGTGTCGTAGGAGTTTTACAGCATGCCAGCATTGGACAGCATCCCGACTTCTTAGTAGCAAGCTGATTTGGCATCAATGGCACACACAATATTGTAAGCTCACTAAACCCAATTCAGCTTCCTTCTTGGTAAACAGCTAAGTCACAGTTCTTCACAAGTTAAAGTGAGGTTGGAACATGGGTGAGCTCTAGCCAATGGGACATATGTAGAAGTAACACATACCGTGCTTGGCATGCCACACAGAAATGACCCTCCTTTGATCCTCTCTCTCTTCCCCTGCTGCACTGATCTTGGAGGCCATGTGTTAAATGGTAGCACCACATGAAGGAAGAAGCCTGGTTCCTGAGACTGTGCAAAGCCCGGTGAATGCACAGAGCAAAGCACTCACTTTTCCTATCACCCTCTCAGTGAACAGCTTTGTGACAAGAGCGAACAATACACTTTTACTATGATAAGCCATGATACCTGGCGTTATTACAGCTGACAACCTATCCTTATAGACAGTTCTTAATAGACTCCAGGAATGTACTATTTAGATTGAATATTACATTTTAGTAATCCTTTAAAACTTAGATTTTTAACAATGTTCAGTTATACACAGAACTGCATACATCTGCCTTTATGGATATGTTTTCAGTCTATCAGAAAGACCTTCACAGCCCACGCAAGCAGGTCTGGAAGTAGGAGGCTAACTGAACAAGAGTAGCATTTTAGGAAACGGGTCTGCTATACTGTGTGCATTTATTCAAAATATCTAATACACTACCTACCAAGCATCACACTGGAGACTCAGGGCAAAAAGAGGAATGAAATGCAGATCCTGCCATCAAACTCTTCATGGTAGTGGGTATGAAAAGTGAGACTAAGCTGTTAGTGAACAATGTCATGCCCACGTAAGACTTACGTAAGCAAATGCTGCAGCACAGTGAACAACTATGTCTCCCTATGAGAACAGGAAAGGCTCCAAAGAAACACGGGCATTAAGAGACTACAAATTAGTAACTTTGGGAAAAAGTGTTTCAAAGAGCCCTGTTCTTTGCTGAAGTAACCCGAGAAAATGCCTAATTTCCTCTATCAGTTTTATATAAAACGATGGGACCTATTCCAAGGACAGAATCAAAATGTGGTATTTTCTGTGGTTTCCAAAGTGCTTTCTTCAGGTGGACTTTACTTACACTAAGAAATAAAGTCTAACTTTTTTTTTTTAAAAAAGTGTACCTTAGTATATCTTAAAATTTTTGGCATAAAGAAAATTCTCCAGTTTTAATCATATACATTATTCAACCAGAGGGTAACAATATGCTTCCTAGGTACCTGCAGTCACAAGTGAGCCAGTTCACTCACCAAGAAGGAAATGCAGTTCCAGAGCTATATATTTTACCCTTAAATTTGCTCAGCATTCTCACAAACACTGGACACAAGAGGCCAGGAAACTATAAATAGGTCTATTTAGTCCTCCTGAAAAAAATTCACAGCACGTGTCCTACTGATGTGAGTCCGTAGCTCCAAAAGTGCATGCAGTTAGGCTGTTAATGTGAGAAATTTACAATGTCCCAGATAACTGAGGGTTGATACTGGCAGGAAAAATAGGAATATATCATTATGTAAAGACAATGCTACCTTGGCAATATCCTCCCGAATTCCACTCAAGATAAAGCTGCTTGCCAAAAGTGTGAACTGCACTCTCTTTCTGGGTCTATTTATATTCAATTCTTCTTTTTTATAAGATTAACTAGAATTATGCCTTTACTGCAAATGTTTCACATTTACCACACGGATGGTTTGTGATGCAAAAAGAATAACTTCCTAGGAATCCACAAATGTTTCCTCGTGTCTGGCATTCCATAAATATGAAGAAGAGAAAGTCATAAAACAAAAAACAACTTTTTTTCATACTTGCAATCGTTTTATACATCATAAAACATCTCTAATTTTGATAGAAACAGCCATTAATAATAAAGTAACTGAAAACAAAGCCTAGATCTGTCAAAATGCCACACTCACTTTTAAAACCCGTAACAGTCCATGTAAACAGCTCAAGTACAGAGGAATTAAAGATTTGAGAATACTCAATAAGCTTTTTTTTTCCCATATGCACCCATAATGTAAAAACATTATTTTCCTACCATTTTCCATTTTCTTGCTTTTCTTTGACTCTAAAATAGCTAAACTGCCCAATCTCCAAGTTATCTCAGACAGTTGTTTCCAACAATCTTCTGCAAAAAAAAGTTTGGTAAAGGGGGAAAGAAACAAATATATTTCTACTTACCCATATAATTTAAGATTTAATGTAATATGGGAAGTACGCTATATAAAATATCAAAATATTTTTGAATGGCATATCAAACCTATGAAGTCTTCAATAAAATATTGATAGCATACAATAAAAAGGTTATTTTTCCAGAGCATGGTCTATAAACAGAACTGAATACTCTCTTAAACCATGGCAAATATCCATTTATAGGTAAAAGAAAACAAAAAAAGTACAATTCACTTTGAAAATTTTAAATGCAAGTTTTTAAAATATCCTGTAAGATATATAAGAGAGGTGGGATGGCACAGCCTAAAAGCATGATTGACAGTTAACACTGGATTTGCTGTTTCTAGTGGAACAAAACAAAGCCCCAGTTTTTAGTAAAATATAACATGACAATACATCAAACATAATTGAAGTCACTATTTATGGGTTCTCTATTTGGGGCCTGCCTTTGTATTATGTACTTTATATATAATATCATTTATCCTCACTGAATCCTATCAAATGGGATTATTTTCCTTGTCAAAGATGGAGATGCTGAGGTTTATGGAGGTCACAGCACTTCTAAGCTAGCATTCCCATTCAGGTCTGTACATTCTACATCATTGTCTTGAAGAAAATCTTCTATTACATGGCAAACACTCTAGCATGCTCTTCCAAGATAATCACAGTCGTCTCTCAGTATCTGAGAGAGACTGGTTCCAGGACTCCAAGGATACCAAAACCCAGGGATACTCAAGTCCTCTATATAAAATGGTACAGTATTTGCACATATACACAAGCTCCCATGTATTTTAAATCATCTCTAGGTTACTTAGAACACTTAACACAATATAAAGCTATGTAAATTGTTGTTACACTGTACTGTTTTTTAAATCTGTATTTTTTAATTCCTATATTGTTATTTCTTATTTATTTTTTAAATATTTTCAACCCATGGTTGATCAAATCAAAAAATGCAGAACTTGCAAATACAGGGGGAGCAACTATATTTAAGATGGCAATAAATTTATCCTTTGCTTTGCTTGAAGTTTCCTTAATCAGCTATTTCATCATTTACTTCTGTAAAATCCATAACCATATTTAAATTTATTGCTTAGCATATCTAACTTTATATCTGTGTAAATTTATATAGATATATATAGATATAAATTTAGATATCTAGATATAAATTTAGATATACTAAGTAATAAGAAAAGCACCATTATATATATAACTGAAAACTCAAAGTTTGAAAATCCAATCTTTCTTGTGAGTGATTATTTCTGACTAGAAATCATCATTAGATCCCTTAGGTGTACCTACAGAACCCATGAGGGCCACTGAATTCCAATAACAAACATTCTCAAATAAAAACTACTTCTAAATAGCCATTTATTAAGGATAATTAACATCTATTAGGAAAACCATTAATACTGAAGCTGGTACTTTAAGAGTAGCCCATGGGCTGTTGCTGGTCCTTTCCAGATAACTCAAGAACAAATTCCTAGAAACATATCACCTAAATTTCTGGCTTGAATTAACAGCCACTGGCAATTCACTCACTCCAGGTTTCAGCACAAGCCATGTTGTTTTCTAAGTTTCGGTGAGTTTCTGGCTCACATAAGTGGAACGTAGACCAGGACAGAGAATAAGAGTCTTTTATCTTCTTATGATAAAAAAGTTCAGCTCCAAATATATATGCAACTTTGCTTGGCTCTATAATTTAATTATAGGAATAAAAATATTCTTCAAGTAAAATAAAACAACTTGAAAATATTCTAGTATTTAAAAGAAATATCTGATACTTTCAAGTACAAGATTTTCCCAAATAGTAGAACTTCCCCCATATTAAGCTTACCTTGAAGATGGCATTATATTGGAAGCCCTGAATTTTGCTGTAAATGGATTTGTTGACTCATAATCAAAATAGTCCTGGCGATTTTCACTAAATGCATTAGGTGATTTCAAGTCACAAGGGCTATCAGATCCCCCATTGTTAAGTTTATCAGATCTTCTGCTATCTTTTTTTCCAGTAACTCTTTCAAACAGGCTAACTTTCTCCCTTTTCTCTCTTTTATTTTCTTTTCTTATTTCAATTGGTTTTGAAAATAAACTCATGCTGCTGTCCCATGTTTCACTGCTTTCTTCAAATGGATTTTTCTTCCTTGGCAGTGTTGCAAATTTTTGGGGTAATGAAGCAGTCACATTTGTAAATGGGTCATTTTGTCCTCTGAAACACAATTCACCTTCATCCACAATGCTGTCAGGTTGGTTCATTTTAGAAGTATCAAAGCTTAATGTTCTTCTGTGTGGAGATTTGAGACTTCCTACAAACAATTTTGTAGTTAGTACATAATCAGTGACACATGACATCACACTACTTGACACATTCTGTGTGTATTCTGCTGTTTTTAGAAGGAGAGCAATTAGCTACTTAAACTTATTAACCTTCAAAAAATCAAGGAAAACAATCTTAAAATGCTAAGGTATAGCAGTCTGAAGTATCTAGGCTAATAACAATTAGCATATTGCTAGACCATTAGTAATTTATTCAGCTCACAATCATATAATCTATGATGTCAAAACTAGAGGTTCTGCTTTGCATGATAACGCTAAAAATTCTCAAAGACTCTTTCATTAGCATTAAATTTAACTTACTTCTGAACGTAAAAGTTTTCTTCTAGGGACTTTATGATGAATGGAACATTCATTTATGCTGAGGGTTTTGAGATAGCAGAAACAGCAGTAAAAAAGGCAGCCAGGCCATGAAAGGAGATTGGAACTCATTTTATTATCATCTAATAATATAAATACAAACGCAGACAAGCTCTGCCTTCAAGGAACTTACCAATTTAAGGTATAGTAGGTACTCAATATTTGATGAGTGACTAAATTTAGAAAATACTATAAAGCAACTGCTATTTTTATTTTCTAAATTTAGAAATTAAACTTTAAAAACTAAAAGTGTAGTTCAGACCAATGAGGACACAAGAATGTGGCACTCACCACTTTCTGGAACTGCTCCAAAGGAATCTAACTGGTGTCTGAGAAGATGTGTTTGACCTATGGTGCCAGCCTTCAGTTTCTCAGAAGACATGTGGGACCCAGATAAATCAGACATTGAATGCGCTGATGAGAGTCGCTGAGGACCCAAAAGAAAAGGCTTTTTTGGTTTGGATTTCATCTGTATTTCACCAGCTGAAAATTCAGTATTGGCGTCGGGCATGTGAGTACTTGGAATGATTGCAGAAGATGTATCAGAAAATGTTCCATCATTTTTTCTGCCTTTCATCTTATCTTTTAACTTTGCAAAAGGAGATCTGGTTTTGTCCTTTATTGATAAGTCAAACATACTTGCAGTCATATTGTTCCTCATAAATTGAATATTGACCTTTATCTCACCCCTGTTTTTGATTCGTTTTCCTTGTTTGGATTCTAATCTAAACCACCTTAAACAGAAGAAAAAAAAATGGATTGTAACACATAATGAAAAGAGGATACTGAGTTCTGTTACATACAAATAGCTTTTTAGGCAAGGTAGCTATATATAAAGGCAATCAAAGCCCTTAACAAGAATCTGTCAGCCACAGCATTTCAGGGTTTACTCATTGTTTAGTTTAATGATCACTGTTTCTGTGATGTAAAATATACTGCAGGAATAGGTCTTTAGCAAGTTTGAAAATGTTTTTAGATAATCTTTTCTTTTGTGATTTGAAAATCACTCAACATCAAAAATTTGTATCAATGATAGAAGTTTTCCATATGGGATTAAGTGTTGCTCATGGTCTAAGGACATTTTGTGACATTAAAAGACACCAAGGCAGAGACTTTTAAAGAACTCATCAATACAAATTGTTTTGAGCAATATAAAATGAATACTGATGACATTTTAATACAATAATAAATACCTGGCTCCATCCCAAAATATTACTTATGTAAAAGTAGCAAAAGAATTTTGTTAACATTGGAGATCACTACATACAGCTTGCTAATCATTAAAACAGCATATGATGTGACTTAGATTGATATAAAATGGATCAAAGTCTTTTCCTGAATATGCAAAATAAGTAAAATGCAAGTGACAAAAAATAAATCTTGTGACATCTTCAAAATAAAAAAAAGCTAAAATGCTTCCTGTTTGAATTTATTTGCTTCATTTTACTACTGCTACTGTGACAATAACAAACAACAATTATTTTGTAAATGAAGCCAACTCTTATGTTTTAGTCACTTCAATGTATTGCACTACCTATATTTAAATGATTTACAAGAAGCAATATTTTGGTTTTATAGTGTTTTAATACATGTGAAATTCTCCAGTTGTCCATGTCACAAGTGGTCATTCTGTAGGAAAACAGCCAAAAAACTACAAAATCAAGCCTGAGAGTTTCTATAATGTTTTCATGTAACTTAGCAATGAGGCATAATATCCATTCCTGCAGACAGGTTATTATTTAAATATAGCTCTAATCGAGTGTAACGAATTTTCTTAGCTACAAAGGAACTCTGATCTAATTTTGCATTCGTTCTTTCATTGTTACCAACCGGATATGCTAGGAGAAGATTACATTTACTGTATATCAAGTTGAAATACTGGTTCACAGGTCTTCCAGGAAGAACAGAGAATTGGCACTTGATATAAATACCAGCTACATCTTAGCAAGTAACAAGAAAAATATTTTCTTGATTAACTAAATTGGAGCAATTCAAGCAATTCAGATATAGTTGCATCAAAAGTAGCAATTTTTTTAGAATATCAATATTTTATAATAGCGTTAGCCTCAGAACTTAAAGAGAAAATCCCTTATGTGAGGCAAATGGTAAAATCTGAAGAAACAGGGGCTAGAAATAAGAAATGACAGCAATAAACTCTGAGAAACAGACAACCTTAAATAACATACAATTGAGCATTCAAAAGCCTGAAAATGAAGCAGATTATATATTCAGTTAACTCAAAGTTTTGGAAAACAGTCCCATTTTCAATAAGGAGAGAAACACATCTGATAAATAGTATCTCAGAAATACTCTGTAGTATCCCAGGCTTTATAGAACATAGGTGAATATACTTTGCAAGAAATGTACCAAAAAACATGCAAGCAAAAATGAGCATGTATATAATAAATCAAAGCAAATATGAGTCAAAAAAAAATCAATCACCCCCAAAATAGAAGGGGGTAAGGGTAGTCAAAATTCATAGAATTTTGGAAATAAGACCAATAAATCATTTACTTTAACATCTTTATTTCATAGATGAAGAAATTGAGGCACAAGGAATGATATGTAACTTCCCAATGTCAGATTAAAGTCAATAAGGAAAAAAACCTAAAGTTGATGAATAACATCCGCAGGAAAATAGTTCTTTCTTTTTTGATGAACCACATGGCTGGCACATATTGCAGGACACTGTATGTAATTAGGAGACATGAGAGCTAAAGAGAAAGACAATGCAAATTTTGTATTGCTAAACTATAAGCTCCTGGAAGGCAGTCTGCCTTGCATCAAATGTTTACTCAATTTTTACTTCTAGAACTGCATTCTTACAAGTAAGCTACAACTTTGTGTATTTTTTCTACATTGTTTTGTTTTTTAGTAGGGAACTGTAAAGACCAGGGTAAACTTGAATAAAGCAAATCAGTGTTTGACTACAAACTGAAAACACACTATCATGTCCATTCCCCACCCTCCAAGAAAAACTGCAAAGAACATTTACAAATATACTCATCGAAAATGTAGGAATGAAAAATAAGTTAGTTGCTTTGTTTTGAAAATGATGTAATAGGGACATCTTAATGAGATCTTCAAGAATCCTTTCGGAGACAGCATTTGTTTTTTTCCAGTCTTCAGAAAGATAAAATGAAGACGCAGCATTTGAAGCTTACTGGATTAGCTGACTTTTTTTCACCTCTGGAGTGCTAGATTTAAACTATATATGGCCTCCGTTCAATTTTTAGTGGGCACAGGTCCATGTTCAAAAACCAGCACACATGTGGGAACTATTCCCAAGCAATTGGTGCTGTGTGGTCAGAAATGGGACAAAATTGGCAGTAAGGGTGCCAGAGGCCAGGACACAGGTGCACCGCAGAGACACACACACACACACGTCCTAAAATCTGCATATGTTTGAGTCATATACAACTCTAGAGACTCTGTTTGTTATTACTTTTCATGAGCATTAAAAGAAAAAATCAATATCACCTACTTCTATTGTAAAAAAAAAATCAATGGATATTACATAACAGCAACAATGATGCTAACATTCTATTATTAAACATTGTATTATTTCTTTAAATCTCATGCCAGAACCAACCCAGACATCCTTTAAAGGAGGAGACAGAGAAGTTCTCTTCCCAGGCCCACTCAAAGAGTTCTGGGTCAGGCCCTTTTTCCCTATTCCTTGAGAGACAGAGAGAGAGAGAAAGAGAGATCGATTCATTTTCAAGGTAAGAAAATAAGTAATAATTTTAGCTGTCATACTTCTTTATCTATCATGACACAACTGGAAGACAAGCTGTAAATACATGTCTTCAGTGTCAAAAAGTAAAAAGTGTCACACCCAGCAGTTTCATAGGACTTCTAAGTCAGCTGGTAGTCCTCATCAATCAAAACAGTTTTCTAAAAAGCACTGGGGAATATGCTGACACGGTTTAGCAATGTGCAGAATATTAAATCTCTTTCTTGCAATATACCGGGGGCTCAAGTCTGTCTCTTACTGGGCCACATGTACAGCTGTGCTAGAAAAGGAAGCTATTAAATATATTAAAAAACTAGAAATATTACCAATAAAGATACCTCACCAACTACATGGTCCCCATTTATCCACAAAGAAAATGTTAAGGGCTTAATAACGTATGAAAGTCACTTTGAATGCAATAACATCACCAACCCTGTTGATAACATTTAAAAGTATTTTCCCCCTAAAGTTCTAACCAATTTTGTATAATAGCCAGTAGAGAATTTCTGTAAGGAGAAGACCGTAATATTAGAGTATTGCTCACATCAAATGTATTGTAACTGTGATATTGCCCATAACTAGGAGTAAAACTAGAAGAAACTGCAAAAGATTATTTCATCCTCAGGCTCTGTGGGTTCACATTTGGGCCGATTTTCCCTCTGAAAAGTTATGTTTCAGAGGTCTGAAATACATGATCCATTAATATTAAAGTACTATAAATCAAGTGAGAAATTTGAAGTTGCAATATATTTAATGGTTTACATTCAAAACACTTTAAATATTTACTGTCACCCAAAATTGGCAACTTGAAACAGATTATTTGGTAATGATCCATTTTTCACTTTCAATTTGATAAAGAATCCCTCGGAGGAAACTGAATGCCACTCTTTAGGTATCAAATAATTTTACTATTCAAATCACTGATATATATTCAACTTTACACTTCTTAAAAAACTTTCTCCTTCTAAAATATTTTAATCTCAATTAGTTTAAATATTATCCTTTTTCCTCTTGCATTCCCAGAGGAAAGTGTAGAGATCTCTCTACACTTTTATTCTACATATATTAAATCTTAGGTAATGACTTGATTTAAAATGAAACAAAAAAACTACAATCAAGAGAAGCCTAAGAGCGGAAATGTAAAGAAAAGAACAAGAAATAGCTATTTTAAAAAATGTCAGGAATTAACACAACCTTGAAGAAAAATATCATTATAAGACAGTTTTTAAAAGAGCAAATAAATTCATTTATGACTGAAAGAAACACCAACACTATTTTGGAAATGGAAAGTCCTAAGAAGTTCAACCAGTATTTTTCTCCCATTAATTTCATTAATATTAATGTGTTCTTTTAAGTTTAAGGAGGGGGTGACTATACCTATCTCTAAAAGCATATATATTTTTTTCAATTTAAGACACAATATCCTAGTCTTAATTTATATTATGATTTTTTACATTAAAATATATCTAACTCAAGCTCAGAAGTTATACTGAAGAGGCCATTGAAGATGTCATCGAATCATTTTATCACAAGACTTTATCATTGTCTCCCATCCTATAGCATTTAATATGGTCTAAACACAATAGTTTTGCAAAACCAATTCTGAGGTAATACAATAGCTCTGATCTAATCACAAATTCAAAGGAAAATGTTAGTGCATTTGAAGTTGAGGATGTGGGTACCTACTTTTAAAACTTTTTTTTTTTCTAACAGGTATGGACTTCCATCAAGGCGTACTGACCCTGAAAATGGCTGAGCTAAAATAAAGGCTATGTTTATAATGTTGAAATACTGAGTTCTAAATCTGATAATTTATCTTTTGACAGCTACAAAGTGCAACACATAAACATTTCATTGGCAAATTTAATTTCTGATCTTCCATTTCATTGATAATTGTAAAGTTTAAAATCCATTAACAATTTATACGAAGTTCTAGTTTGTCAATACTGTCTCCCAGTCCTCTTATAATGAAACAATGTTAATTTACTTAAAATCCACCGCAGAATACTCAATTTGACAGATGTTTACCTCTAACAGAAATAGCTGATTATTAATGATTCCATTTTAAAAATATTTCACCACGAATGCTATTTTTACTTCAGATTCATGCAAATATGGTGCTTAAAACTGGGTCATATTTCAGTCCGAAAACCAACGCCCGAAGTATACGGATAATTTCCAGGAACAGAAAACCCATAAATAAGACATAAACTCCCCCAAATTTAAAATAAATTACATAACTTACTCTGTTTTCCTTCTTTGTTTGTCCTCAAAGATGTCATTGAGATTGATTGCCACCTGCCCTAAAAATTTATCCAGACCCACCAGGGACCTGTGCATGACTATAAGGAAAAGAATGTATTTCTCTGGATTCCCCTGCATTAGCAATCCAGGTAGCTCAAAAGAGGCCTCCTCCTTCCAGACTGGCTCAAGGGTTTTCTCAGCTACAGAGGTGGAGTACTTTTCCTTGCCCAGCTGAATTATAGTGTATGTGTCATTGGTGCCACTTTTGCCTTTTGGCTTTAGATCTTTGGCTTGGAGCACTGTGACCTGCACGTGGGTTGGAAACCACTTTTGGGCTTGCTCGGACAGCATCATCCTGTCCTGTTTCTCTGCACACGCACAGGCAGTGCCCCTCCCGGAGGGAGAGCCTAATTCCTTAATCACTGCATCCTAAGGGCACTTAACGGAGACAGGCAGGCTCAGGGCTCCCCGACTTCCCTAAGGCCGATGTCAAAACACCTCGCGGGGGCAGCCCAGGGGCACGGCCGCTCCGGGGGTCCCGTTTCTTCAGGAGAAACACAGGGACCCACCATCACCTGGCCGCGCCGTGAAGGCCTCCGCGCGAACCCCCGCTCCTGGCGTTTCCACCTCCCCAGGCCTGCGGGCACGTGAGGCCTGGCCACCGGGGCCCGTGCGGAGGGCTGAGGGGGTGGAGGGAGCCCACCGCCCCAATTATGCTCCCCTGGCCTCCCGCCTGCCTCCTTGCGGCCGGGCAGCCTCAGACGCCTCAGCGCCTTCCGCCCGCACCGCGTTCGTCCGCTGGCCCGGCCCTGCTCCTCCTCCCGACCCCGGTAATACGAACCGCCGGCGGCTCACTCGGCCTCGCTCCCTCTAGCAAACCTCTCCCTCCTCCTCCTCCCCCTCGCCTCAGCTCCTCCTCTTGGGCGAGGGCTGGTCGCCCGGGGGGTGGAGTGGAGGTGGGCGGGGGACGCGGCCGCCCAGGCGACTGCGGGACGCAGGGCGGGCCGTGAGTTGAGGGCAACGCGTCGGCCTGGCCCGGCCGGCGGCTCCTAGCGCACGGCAGGCGGCTGAGGCGGCACTTCCGGGTTGGCTTTCTCCATGTTGGTTTCGGGAACGCGAAGGGGCGGGGCCTCGAGGTCAGGGGTCAGCGCCTCCCTGGTTGCCGTGGCGACTGACGGCGCGCGACGCGGGCGCGACTGCGGGGACTCTGGGCTCCTGGCTTGTTGCTGCTTGGGCCTGGCCCAGTGGCGGGTCCTCGGGACCTGGGAGGCTTGCAGAAGCCGGCAGGTGAGCCCTGGGGAGACCTGGGCACCGCTCCTGAGAGGAGGTCATCAAGGACCTAGAGACGCCCCTAACTAGGGAGAGACCCCTTTTCAGTCTTTGAGGGCGGGGAATCTGTTTTCTCTGTGTCCTGGATGCCTAGTGCCAGGCACTAGCAGATCCATAAATGGTGTTGGAACGAATCGGGCCTCTTCACTGACCAAAAGTAAACTTTTATCCAATCTCTTATCCACCCTTCCCTTTTTGAAAAGTCCGTCAATTCACTGAAAGTGACATCCCCCACCCAGAAGAGGGGCGAGGGGGAAGCAAATAGCTTCCAAAACTAACACAAGGAGTAGAGATGTAGGGAGGCATTGGGCTGGCGTCCGAAGACCTGGTTCCGGCCGCGCCTCTCCCGCTATCACTGTGTGTGACCCTGGCCAAGTCATTTCACCTCCCTGAGCCTCAGTGTTTTCACGAGTAAAAAAAGCCAGTTCCACATCATGTCTAAGACTCCATCACGACGTCAAAAGGACCCCCCTGGGGACTCACACTGTAGTAGACTGTGCAGATCCTGTGGAGACCACGCCCCAAACATGACTTTAGAGTTTTAGGAGATAATACATGTGCCTTTCCTGGCACAAAGTGGCACAGAAGTCTCCTTTTGCCCCTCTCTTTCTCAATTGGAAGAGACACGTACTACACCTATTGCCTTTAATTCTGTTCGTGTCTTACCTTCCCAAGAAAATTTTATGTTTTGGGACCGCCTTGTCTATCATGCAGCCCGTTCATAGAGCCTAGCATGCAGCAGACACTCAATTTATTGAATAACTTAATGCCTTTTTTCCCTTTACAAGACTAATTTTGAGAGTGAAACAATATGATACGTGTGTAAATGCAGAGTTTTTTTTTAGATTAAGTGGCCATAAACATGTAAAATATCGTGTTTATTATTTTCAAGAAAGTTTAAAACTTCTTCATTCAAGGCAGAATTTTTCATCCCTGAGAAACAGTGTATGAAAAGGCCATGTGTGGAAAACAGAACAAAATCTTCATACTGCGAATATAGCATTTGAATCCCAGAGTGCACAGTTGTCAACTAAAGAAAAATATTCTTAGGGATTTTCAAACAGTGTATTGGAACAGTCATTGGTGGAATTGCACCAAGATCTCTAAGGAGAAATAATTTGACACCTGGAACTTACAAAAACCAAATAAGCATCATGAAATCAAATTTAATTTTTAGAGTCTTTATACATTTTTAAAAGTATTCATGTCTTTATTAAAGGTTGTAATTAAATAAGAGACAATTATAATAGTGGATGTGTATTTCTGAAGAGCTTAAATTGTTTGATAAGCTTTATTAATGATTATAAATTTATTTACAAGTATCATTTCACTCATCTCTGAAACATAGCCATCTCTAGGGTGGAAGTTGGCAGCAGTAGTTCACAGCAACGCAATAACATACTCCAACACAATTCAGAGAATACTCTAAAGGCAAGAGCTGAACAACTGGAATTACTAACCTCTCTTTCTGTCGTACCTAAATGTCTTTTGAGTTTTCCCAACACCTGGCTAAAGCCAAAATTGTTTAGTTTTACTGGTGAAATCAGAAATTATGACTTAATATTTTTTAAGTCAGGATAATAAAATAACATATTTTTGCCCCTGGGAAAAGCAAATAAACAAAAAACAAACCTAAATGAGCTAAATAGAATCTGGGATTGCATTATAAAAAGGAAATGACTTCCTATAGAGCATTTTCCTTTTTTGATTATATTAAGAGAATAAAAACATGACAGTTGAGTCAAAGATATGGTTGGCTTATAGTGAAAAATAATGCCAATTACAGAAGATCCGAGATCAAAGTGCTTCTCCCAAAATGTTTATTGTTTTACGGTTTTAAACATTCTTTTTACTAATTCTAAGATATACATGAACAACAATTTAAAAAAGAAAGGATTGCATGCATAAGGACAACATACCAGAATTGAAGAGAGTCGTTTAAAAAAAAATTCTGCTATGACTAATGATATATCCAGAAATGTTTGGTACAATTCCAAAATCAAAGTCTTGGGAAAATAATGTATTTTAGAAGAAAAATGCTGAACATTCTAATTTTAAACTGTTAACAATGGCTACAGCAATGAATAAGAATGCTTTGACCAGAAAGTTAAAATAGTCAATATGTATTCCCCAGGAGTAGAGGATTTCACAGATGAAAATATTTACTAAGTGTTGCCCCTTTCAGTAAAGTCCCATAAGGAGACTTACTCCAAACGTTGTGGGAGATTTTCTCTTTGGACAAAGGCATCTCTGAAAGTGCGTCTTGCAAATCTGTTGCAGAACAATTATAATGCTCTCATGTTTAACTAGCCCACTGGGTCAAGCAGGTTAATGCTCCCATATATATTATGTAATGGGTATTAATTATTTTCCAGATGGAGATTCAGAAACATAAGGACAAGAAGAAGCTTTCTCAAGGTATCGTTAAAGTCTTTAGACTTCAGATACACACACACACCTCAAATATATACACAACTGAAATGTATATAAAATTCATATACATGTACATATGACAAAGCCCCACAGTCATATTGGAGATACGTAGATAGATCAGTTTCCACATAACGAGTCGAAAAATGAAAGAATATTTGGCAAATTGACTTGAAATTATTACAGCAATGAACTAGCATTTGGAGATTTTTGGTGATTGTTTTGTTTTCATCACTGGACTGATTAATTTCTCTTCTGGGATTGGGCAGTGTGGATACAGTTTGTGATGCCCCAAAAGTAACGTGGTATGTAGTGTAAAGAGCTCTAATCAGCAGCCTGGGTCTTAATCCCAGATCTGCCTATTACTAGCTACATTTCTTTAGGGAAGTCATTTTTCTTCTTTGGGCCATCTGTAAAATGAGTCTTTTACAGCAACTACCAAAGCATCCTCTAACATTTAAAGATTCTGCATAGTATATCCACATCACGAAGAAGCAAATTGCATTATAATTATCTAATTGAATTTGGTCAATATATTAAAGCAGATTTCCTGTTTATGTAACTTATTAATAAAGAATTCTCTAATTCAGGAGAAAAAAATATTTTTCAAGATGTCCTGAGAGCTCTGTCTCTCGCAAATGAAGGTAATTAATGATCACAGAAAGCAAGTAAATATAAGTCTTATTAATAGGCCCTACATGAGGAAATTGACACCAACAGCTCAAGATTTAGAAGAAATAACATGTAGGTGCAAGTGGTTTTGAAAAGCCTTGAAATTTTTGATTGTAGTGATAAACATAATTTCTATTTGTATTATCTGTAGCTTTTTTTGAACTGAAAACATGCTGAGATTGGTAAGAATTTATGGAGCAAAATACACATCTACATATAAGAAGGTTTTGTGGGGAACATCTTTTAATTTCGTTTTCATAGTATCATACTATTCTGTTGTATAATTTTTATTCCTGCAACAAAATCAATGCATATTAATGCATAGAACATGAATTGATTTACTTTAACTGGTATATGGTATTGGGTGAGATGAATAAGCCCCATCTGATCTTTTCTCCTTCCAAAGGATGTTTCAGTTATTTCTAGTTTTTCAATTACAATAAACAATGCTGCATAAACATCTATATGTGTCTCCTATGCATATATACAGGGATTTTTTATTTTTATTTTTTAACAATTGACAGTGAAATTATTGGGAGTTTGTGAGTGAGAGTATGGAACTTCCATGGGCCTGAGCATTAGACCTGAATTCTAATCCTCGTTCTATAAACTAAGGAGTTACAGGCCTGGAAAGCCAGATTTTGTCTATGCCTCAGAGACCCATTCCAAATCCAGAATTCTCAAATTCTTTCATTATATTTACTGAGAAGCAGAGATTATTGCTATTGAAAGATGATTTTGTGACTACTTTGATATTGGTCTTCAAATTTCAATTGTCTCATCATCATGAGTATTTCTGAAATCTTCCAGAACACTGTTACTTCTGTGGATTTAGGTGAGGTTAACAAGGGCTAGAGAATTTTGATTATTCCTAAAAGCAATGATTAGCAAAGTTATATAAACATATTATCTATGTACTTTGTAAACATCTGCTAATTTTTTTATGTTCAGTTAAAATCGAAGAGGGGAGGTGAGGTAGGGAGTTGGGGAGAGATAGCATGGGGAGAAATGCCAGATACAGGTGATGGGGAGGAAGGCAGCAAATCACACTGCCATGTGTGTACCTATACAACAATCTTGCATGTTCTTCACATGTACCCCAAAACCTAAAAAGCAATTAAAAAAATCAAAGATGGGATTATTTTTTAAACCAAGTATAAGGGATTCAAATTATAATATTTCTGGGACAGTCTGGAATCTATAAAATTTCTGCAATAATATTTCTGGAAATATGTTCATTTAGAGAACATTAAACTGGTGGACAGCTGGCAAAAGCATTTGGTGGTGGTGCTTTTTTCCTCCATGTGAGATCTAGTGTTCTCTGCCTTTCTACTTATTTGATCTATGTTAAACAAAGTAAAGGTCTTTTGTTGTGTTTTATTTGTTATATTTTGTGTGTTTAATATAAAGCCCAGGGGGAAAGTGGCATTTTGAGGTATAGATCCAATTCTTGTTCCAGGGCCAGTTTTAAACAGTTCTCCTAAATCAACTTTCAACTGACCTCAACCGCGTTTTAGTCCATCTGGATATCTGATTATAAAAGCACTTTGGGCTAAGAACTATGTGCTTATCTTTTATACATTCTGGGTTAGGTCACCTTCAGAGCACCTATAAGTTGTAATGTAGGGAAGGACTCTTGCAAGTATGTATTATAATCATTTTCTGGTTATTGGAATGATCATGGATGATCTGCATAGCCAAACTGAGCATAAGGTGTTGCTTAGCAATGTAGACCTAAAAGAAATTCCTCCTTTCAGGAATTATGTAGTATAGTGGACAGAAGTCATCTGGCTCAATAAAATAATGTATATGATCTTAAGCAACTTAAACTCTCTTCCAGAAAACAGTGAATTTTAAATTTCTTCTCTCTCCAAACTTGGATCTCAGGTTATCCACAGTGGCTTCCCCATAGATTCATATTAATGAGAAACTGCATTTAACTGTGGTAATCAAGTTTATGCAAGATAAGAAGGTATATGGTTTCTGTAATTTGTGCCTTATAACTGTGTTCTTTTAACCTGAGGTTTAAAGGAAAATTAAGGAAGTTTTTTAAATGACCCTATTCCAAGTATGAAGTGTGTTGCATGAATTTCCAAGGTAGGTTTTGCCCAAATCACCTTTATAAGGCGACCTCCTTCAGTGGTCTTTGTTTTCCTTTCTGTCTACACTTGGACACTGGAAAAAAAACAGAGCAAGCCAGCTTTGTAAAAGTGAAGTCTTCTGTATTAGGCATGTCAGGAATCAAGGGCTTGTAACACTTTCTGAATGAAGATTTGCTGTAAAGTTCCTTGCATGGAGACATTTACTGAACACTATTAAATACACTCCCTGTGATAGATTTTTGTCCCCTGGAGACTAATAGCAATGTGACCTTGGGCAAATTATGTAAACCTTCCAAATTTAGGCTTCCTCATCTGCAAAGTGGGTTGTTGGGAAGATTAAATAAGGGAGTCAGGTAAAAATGCAGAGAGGGCCTGAAATATAGGAACTGCTCAAAAGATGCTTGTTGCTGTTGGCTTGATAATGTGCCCCTCCTTTTTCCAAGTACTCTACTCCTATCTGAAGGCAAAGGCTCCACAGCAATTGGTCTGGACTGTTCCTCACCAAATAATTAAGGATACTGAGCTGCGGCAGGTGCCCCTTTAACCCAGCAAGTGAGAAACAGCAAATGGAGATCTTGAGTTATTATTGTTTCAAGCCAAACTCAGTGTTATTGGACACTCTTTTTCTAAACAAAAGTAACATAAAATAAGCCCTTAATATATTTCAAACGCTCTTTTAAAATTCAATAATGAGTTTCTATGTATCATTTTAACAGCTTTATAAAAATGAATCAGATCCTTGAGTTGAAGAAAAATAACTCCTTACTTTATATACCTATAAGTAGCAAAATTAGAAATTTATGTAATAGATCATATACCAGGCAGTATTTTAAATATGTAGATTTTCACTTCAGAGAGAATTATGACAAATTTAAAAACAAAAGTATAATATCCTCATGTGAATATTATAACAAACATTCTGCTAATCAGTGTTTCCATCCTCTTCTTCCCTTTTCTCTACCTCTACTCCCCGTTTCCTCTGCCTTTCTTCCCCTTCCCCTCCCCCTCCGCCTTCTCTCTTCTCCCTCCTCCCTCCTCCCTTTCCCCCTCCTCTCCCCTTCCCTCCCCTTTACTCCCTTCTCCTCACTTCCCCTTTCTTTCCTGGCTTATAAACAGCAGAAATTTATTTCTCACAAGTCTGGAGATGGGAAGTCAAAAGACCAAAGTACCAGCAGAATGGTTGTCTAGCAGGGGCCCACTTCCTTCTAGATGACAGTCTTTGCACTGTGTTCTCAAGGGTAAAAGGAATGAGCCAGCTCTCTGGGGTCTCTTTTGTAAGAGTGCTAATCCCAGTGAAGAGTGCTCTGCCAGGGTCCCCACCTCCCAATATCATCACCTTGGGCTAATCAATATTTTCTAACTTCCATTTGCTACTCTAATGTTAACTCTGTTATCTCAATGTTAATAAAATAATAGCTGACATTTGCTGATGACTTACATTATACTGCATTCATTAATATCTCAATCTCATTTAATTTGAAAGAGGTGAAGCTATAGCCAATACACACATTACCACTTTTTTTCCTATCTCATCACAAAGATTGTGAGGCTTCAGAGCTCTCTTTAGGCATTGCTCACATCAGGACACTTGAAAAATAGATCCTTCGTATCCTTTGGACAACTCTTAGACTTCAATTGGCTTTAAGCATTATCAGAGCATCCTTGACATGATGCCAGGGCCTAACACCGCTTCCGTGAAAGCATAGGGATAACAATGGCAAAACATAATTGATCTATTTCGTGCCCCATGACGTACTCTGTGAGCAGCAGCATCAAATACTGTGGTGTTTGGCATCCATAAACTGCAGAGAAATTGAAATATATTTAAAAAGCTTTATGCATGGACAGTGACCTAGGATATCACTCAACTCTACTGCTTTCATAACCAAAGGTGAAAATGCTAATAGTCTGTTCCTTGTGGAAAAATGTTGAGTTTTCATTCAGGAGACCAATCCTCACACACTAACTCAACCTACAGTAGACACTTGCTGGAGAATAAAAATAATGCATTTAAAACCATTTCGTAAACTATAAATAATTTTACAAACATGAAATTTTATCACAGTTTTAGTTTTGTATCTATTAAATATATGCCTATTAATATGCACACTTTTTTCTTCTAGCATCAAAGCTTGCCTAAAATAACAGTGGAACATTTAAAAGCAAGAGAATTCTAATTTACCATCGTTCAAATTATGTTAAATCCAATTCAAC